CACATATTTTGCATGTTAAATAATTTTTGTTTTTATGAATGATAGACAATAGGGAAAAGATTTGCATTTTTCAAATAGTATTATATTTATGTACTCTTGTTCATGTTCAATCAGCACCAGATACATTTTATATGTGTAGTTTCTGACTGTCAACATGGATAAATATGCAGATCTTAAAATTTTATTTTCATTAGAATTTATTTTGTACATGCAGGTTGAATCAAGTGTCCTTTACACCTTTTCTTTGTATTAAAAGTACTGAAGATATATTAATTTTGTTACATAGGAAGTCTTGCATGGAAAATTGGATGGACGTTTTTATACCTTGAAAATGATTTTCAAGGTCAACAAAAAAGTCCATCTAATTCTCCATCCAAACTACATTAAGCTACACTTTTCCAGATTATCTAAAGTTTAGACTTTTATAAATGTTAATAGTTATTATTGTTTAATCAGTTGTCCCAATTGTCATTTTGATAACCTTTTCCAATTGGAGAAACAATAAATAACCATTAATATCAAATATAAATTTTGAGATATGTATAATCTGAAAATATAGCTTCATATGATCTAGTTGATATAATAATACACTTGTCTTTGCAAGAGTTATAAATGTTCAGTAGTTTTCAAGTTGATAATTTTTATGTTTCATTCTAAACTGCCCTTTGTAAATTCTAACTTAATCATATTATTTAATTAATTTATTTATGATAGCAACATCATCTGTTTGTGGTACCTGTTTCTTGTAATCATCAAGAAATTTATTAGCTTAATTTCTACAATAATAAAAATTATCATATCATAGCAATTTTGGTCTTTAAGAATGTTTATGTTCAATGTAATCTAATTAAATATTGGTTATTTATTATATTAAGACATATAATTTTTTTTATTTATGATAAATTGTGTTACATGTGATGTCTTTATTGCAAATGAATGTTGCTTATGAAATGAATTTCTTTTTTAAATATTAAAGCTTATCAATATAGAATATATAACAAGAGAAATTTCTATATGCAAACAAAGTTTTTCATTATAAAGAATAGTTTTAACAACTTCAGATTTTATATAGATTTTCTTCTAGGCAATTCTATGTAAAATCATTATATTGTCAATTGCAAAAGATAGAAAATGCAACTGTCAGATAGTTAATTTAAACTATCACATCTTCAATAACAATATTCTAAAAACTACCCTACATCTTCAATACAGTAAAAGTTTGTTAATCTGGTGTCTATGGGACTAGGTTGGGACTGGATTATTGGATGTATTTGTGAAATTTGATAAGTTATATGTAACCTGAACATTACAGAAATAGTCATACATTTTGTACCAGTGTTACTGTGACACTGTAGACTACACAGTGTTAACATTGATTGAAAAACCTGGAAAAAATAACAACAAACAAACACATTATTGTTCAAAACCAATATTCACAATGATTGATGTGCATGTAATAATTATTTTTCAGATGTGCTGCACATATATAATTCACACGTGTTCCAAATGTGAGAAACCTGTTTTTAGGTATATTGTCCTCACATTGGTTTGTTATGAAGAAAATTTATCAGTTACACATATTACTGAATACAAAGTAAGTTATGTATAATCTTAAATCTATACCCAAGAGATGTCAGTTTATCTGAGATGACAACAATGAAAGGGCTTTATTTGTCACCCTTCTGTAAAGTAGCTAGTAGAAGTTGACAGTTTAACGAACTTCTACTGTAACTAGTTAATAGTGTACATTTGATTAATAGAATTTTTTATATTTGAATATATCTAATCTTTTTTCTAAATTCAGAGCTTATTATATATGTTATGGACCAAGTGATTAATAGGGCATTATTTAAAATGCCTAGCCATTATGATTAATGACTAAAATGGCTGTGTAGCCTGATAAATGTTGTCTAATTTATTAAATTGACCAGACATTATGAATACAGCTACATTCTCTTTGGGCAATTTGATTTATTTTTTTTTAATTTTTACTTTTTTCATTTTTTAAAAATTGTTTATTTTTTGTGAATTATTTCAAAGTATTTTAAAAGCAATATGCAATCTTTAAAAGTAAGTATTATTAATTGTATTAATTAAATTAATGTTAACAAAAAGTATTATTAACAAATTTATACTTTGATCAAAAAATGAACTTAAAGGAAACTTCTGGAATGTCATTTTTGTTATACAAAAAGTTTATTGTTGTTAGTTTTAAAGAGATTTTCCAAATTTTCCTCTATATTAATGTTGGTCAATGATTCTATAGGTATAAAATTTTTTAGTTCAACTTTTAACTTTGTTTCAAACATGGCTTCATAGGGACTGCAGTTTATACCAGTATGATGCTCTCTATTTTTCATCAGTTGTACAAAATGTAATCCTTCCAACCCAGCCATTTGTTAGTGCTGTTAGTCTCCAACCAAGAACTAAGCATATTTTCTGTCTTGATTACATCTTTCTACTGAAATCTGACTTTGTGAGTACTTTGGGCTTTCCATTCACTAGTTTTAACTCAGGCCACATACTACACAGTTCTTTGATGACATTATTGACAAATTCTCTGCTGTTATCGCTTTGTAGAATGCTCGGTGCACCAAAAATTGTAAAAATCTCTGTAAGAACAATGGCTACTTCTTCAGCCCTTTTGGTTTTTAACAGTTGTAGTTGAATGAATTCAGTCAGATGGTCTTGGCACAAGAGTATAAATTTTATATTGCTCGTTGGCTTGCGACTGCATATCAATAAGGTCAACTTGACATCTCACAGGTTCATTTCATTACTTAAAATTGGTTTAACTACCAAGCCTTTCTTAGGAACATTCTATTTTTTCTGAAAAATTTCACATAAGTTCAAGTAAATTATGATCATATCTCGTATCCCTTGTAATATTTTTATATTTCATACTTAATTATTTTTCCATACGGTTTCTGTCGTCACTGTCAATAGCAATATGGTCATGCAATATCTGAAATATTTCTTCAGTGTGAACATATTTAATCAAATTACTTTCTTTTACGTACCCAATTAATTTTTCTATTTCATACATCATAGCTATGTAAATGCTGATATTCTTCTAGTAACTTCAAAGTCACTTTGATTTTCGGCTCTTTCACTTTTTGTACCATTGTCAAATATCAATACATTGATTTTGTAAAAATTTGACCTTTTGTTGCTATTAACTCATTTAATCAGTTGTTGAAGCAGTTATTCATATCACTTAATGATTGCTCCATAATTGTTACTTTTTCAAAGAAGAAAATGCCATTTTAAGAGGCAAAAGTAAAATTAAAATGTCTCACAAGAGTAACTACTGGTCACTTGAATTTAAAATTCGATATTAAATGCAATATGCATGCGCAACTCAGACATGAATGCTGATTGGCTAGTATATATCAGTTGATCACTCCTCAACCTATTATCATCACTTCACCCTGACCAGGTTATAGCAGTATTCATAGTGTGATCAGTCAGTCTGATAAATTATGATAAAAACCTGAAATTTATTACAGTGTCCTATATTGTTTGTCATTATTCATAATGACTGGGCATTATAAATAATGCTCGTATTAATCACTTAGTCCATAACATATATAACAAGCAAGATGATTTAGATAGAGCAACAAAAGTGGAAATTTAAACAGTTAAAATGTTCTTGAATATTCACTTGTCTCCTAGTAGATAAATGCTTAAAAGTATTCAAACCTTTTACTCTGTGCATTACTTTGTTTAAAATATTTTGATTTGTTTTTATTTTATATTTATATAAATTTTTATTCATAAAAATCTGAAGATAAGTACTTTTTTAATAAAAATGTTTGAATGCAAATAAAAATTATTCTCTTTTTTCCCTCAAATATTGATGGAACTGGTTTTTTAGAATTTTAATACTTTGAATTTCAACAAATTAAGCTATTTCCTCAGGCACAAAGAAACGTTGCAGATCAACAAGTTTGAGTGGATTAGCAGAGCCCACATCTCCTAAACAAAAGCAAAGTCCTTCAACAACAGTAGCCCCACTCTCTTCTCTTGATAATTTTCCTACCTCACCTATACCAGAAAAGGAAAGCTTCAAGATATATAGGTCTAATACTCGTAAGTCAGCAAATTATGATTTATTTATATTTTAAAATATGCTTATTAAATCATTTTTGGTTCAGTTATTACTTTTTAACTCAAGTTCCATTGTTTAAATAGGCAGTGGGCAACCTATGAACCACAGGCTGACTCCAGCCCTCGACATATGTAATCCAGCCTGTGGTCATTTTCAAAACATGTATATAGTAAAGGGCCTACAGAATAATATATAATTGTATAATTAGGTTTATTGTAACTTTTTATTATATACTGATTCTATGCATTGCCTGATATATTATTATTTTTTATTGTATGTTCTTCTTCACCATTTTCATCATCTTTTTCAATAAAGTAGTTGATCATTGACTTGTTGACAAGGCAGCTAGAGATTGTAATAACCTAAAAAAATTTTCCCCTCACATGGGCACCTTCATATTTTATTTGGTTGTTTAAAACTGTTAACCCACTCTTGCTTTACATGTTTAATTTTTTTATTTTGAACACTTGATTAGCATAAAATATTTTACTACTATATTTCCTTGATTCTGAGATATCATCAATTTTAAAATGCACTTTAAGTTTGAAATTGAATTTTACAATCTTTTTAGGGGAAAATTTTAATCAATGTTATTGAATATTGTTAAATAACAAGTTATAAAAAAAAACACATGTAATAGTTATAATTTGCATTTAGGAAATAAGTAACTGCAAAGTGTAAACATCTTAAACTCAATTTATCATTAATTTAAATTATCTGACTATTAAATGATTAGAAACTAATTTATTTGTCTAGAGGTAAGTGGTTTCCCTCCAGGCCAATTCTTTTGTTGCAGAAATTCTAAATTAAAATTAATTTATGATTATTAAAACTGACATAAGATGGTGGCAGAACTACCTGCCTATAGACAAATGATTTAGTTTCTAATCTAGTTACTTAACCATATAATAGCCCAATTACTTGGCACTCTGTTTGGTTTGAATTAATTGTGAAGTAAATATCAAATTTCAGATATTTAAATTTAATTATTAAATTTACACGTTTATACCTCTAACACTTGAGCACTATTTTTGGAAAGACCTATCTTGAATAGTTTTCTTTTTACTTTCCTGACTGGTTATATATATATATATATATAACAGAGGAAAAGTATGGTAATCGGTCAAAAAAATGACCCCCCCCTAAGATTGTTACATTTTTGGACTTAGGACACCTTGAAATGTTGAGAAATGTAAAACAATTTGGGAATAATTTCTATATGTATGGATGTTAGTGTGTGTGCGTGGTATGATTTTGTTCAACCTGTTTGAAGCTTAAAAATGCCTGTGCTTTTTTTGTTGAAAATTACTGAAATTTTGCAGGGAGGTCTGTTTATTAAGGGAATTAATGCTGTTAAATTTTAGTGGTTGAGGGGTTGGGGAGATAATTGGAGTCTTATGTATTTACAATAGGGTCGGACTTAATGATGATTTTACTCGTCATTAGCATTTACAATTTTTTATAAAACCCACCTTTACCCTCAAAATTAAGCTTTTTGCCATTTTATAGTAGTTAAAAATATAAAAATTTTTAAAATAAAATATGATAACAGATGATGCCACCAAAATTTTAAATGTTGCTGGGATAGTTGAGTAACTCATTGCTGGTTTATTTATAAGTAGATAAATATTTAATGTAAAAAATTTATAGTGTGTTTGTGACAGAAAATGAAAAATTTACACCAATGATAAAATGATAATTTCTTTTATTTGACCAAAATATATTAAATAATAAATTGTATATTGAAACTATATATAAAGAATCAATATTTATATTTTCTTTGAGTTTGTCTACTTTTATACGTAATACATAGTTTTAATCTCAATATAAGATTTTTATAAAATGTTATTTAAATTTTGTGAAAGTCTAAATATATTAAATTTAGATTTTCAGATTATAAATAAAAAATGCATTTTTTGATGCTTTATTATTTGTGATTTTGTCTAATGATGATTTTTACATATTAAAGTCAAATAATATTTTTGAAAAAAATTGTTTCGTTATTTAAGTATTACTATGATTTTGTTCTTGATTTAACTTCCTTGTTTAATATAAAATATTTTACCCTACATTAATTTTGATTTTACATTTTTATAGCTCAATTAAAGTTATCTCGTCATTTAAATAATTTTACATTCTTTATTTCATTATAGAAGATCAAGCAAGTGATACAGATCAAAACACAGAAACAAGCAGCACCAGAAGCAGTACTTCTACTAGTAGCATGTCATCAGATAGTGAATCAGGGAGTGAAAGTGATGGAGATGAACAGTCTGGTACAGGCGAACGACGGCGTCAAAGAGGTAAATGATTTTAAGGAATTTAATTACATTTTACAAGTTTAAAATATTTCTTTTCAGCAAAATTCAAGAATAATTCTGTATAAATTTAAATTTTATATATAATTTTTGTCTTGAAAAATATAAAACTGGTATATTTCTAATTTTGACATATAAAATTTAAAAATTTCATGTATTTTATTTTGTATAATAATACAGGATGTCCATAAAGTCCATGTGCAATTTTAAAATTTTATAACTTTATTAGTATTTGTGATAGAGAAATTATGTAGAATGTATTGGAAATAAGAAAATCTATATTTTTTGAAATGTTTTATTGTATTTTATTAAATTTCCACAAGTCCACCATCTTTAGTAAAGGGTAATATGATTTTGTAGTTCTCTAAAAAGATTTGCCAATTGATTTACAGTAATGCCTGAAATCACATTAGTTATTTTAGCTTTCAAGTCTTCTAACAATTGAGGTTTCAGTAGATTTCAGTTCAGCCAACCAAAGGACACAGTTTACTTTTTGTTGAGTTGAAACCATTAATTCTGAAAAAGAAGTATTTTTAAAGTTTTGAAAAATTGTTAAATTATTGTGTTGAAGAGTTACTAATTAATTTCACTTAAAGCTGGATAAATTAAGCTTTATAATACTTTTTACAGATTTTTTTCTATCACAAATACTAATAAAGTTAAAAAATTTTTAAATTGCACACGGACTTTATGGACACCCTGTATATATAGTTCACTTTTATTAAATTTAACTTGCATGAGTCTTAACTCTAAGTAATCTAAACCAATTTTTTTTTTTCATTTTCCATTAAATTTTTAAGCAAAAACAAAAAGAAGTCGCTGATTATTTTTCAAGAACATAATAAATTTGTAAAATATGTTGTAATACTCATTTTAACATATATCCATCAAATATCACATTTTAAAAAATTGTTTATATATGTATTTATTGGTAGACTTCTTCACTTCTACTCTCTTTGTAGCACCTTACTAATCTGAACCCTGTAATAATTAGTTTGGATATTAAGAGTGAACTGTATTCAAATTATATGTATTTTTAAGTAATGTTTTGTTCTGGATTTTTTATTCTTATAAAACACTAGCTGTTACCTGCGACTTTGTCCGCGGAGGTTTTGCAAGCAAACCCCATTTACATTCAATATTTCAATAACCATAGTAATCGTTAGGTCTATATAACACCTACCACTGAAGAGAATTGCCGAGAATCAAACAAACTATTTTCAATTTGATCAATTTTCCGGAATGTTTACAATTGTTCTATAATCGAACCAATATGCAATAACAAATTCGAATTTAAAATGGTTCGAACATTTTTAAAATCGAAATAGATAAAAATATTTATAACAATGTCTGAAATGTTATCAATTTAATACACCTAAGTACTCAATGAAGACTAAACGTAGTTGAAAACAAAAAATCGCATCTAAAATAGTACAGTATAAGCCGTTCTTCCGGTTAAGCCTTAATGCTCTCCGTCGCCCCCCTGCGGGGGAATTTCTAAAAATCCCTTCTTAGTGTGCATAGCCATGGTGTACCCTACTAAAACGCAGATAAAAACACAAAAACGCATCTAAAATAGTACAGTAGAAGCCGTTCTTCCGGTTAAGCCTTAATGCTCTCCCTC